GCTCTTCCTTGTTTTGTTTGGGGGGCAGTGCCTTTGCAGTTTCTCGGGGAGGGCAGGAGGGGGCTGGCTCAGATGAACCTCTGCCCATTTCTGAACGCTTTCCTCCCACTTTTCCAGCTGGCATCCCATTCCTCAGCAGTGGCCCCGCCCCCCTGGAAAACAGGCTGGGGTATGTGTCTGCCAGGTAAGCCTCCCTGTGGGCTCAGGGTGGAGCCACACCGTTCAGCTGCTCGCTGCAGCTCCCTGGGCAGGTGGGACCTGGGAGGGGACCAGAACTCCTTATCACATCACCCAGAGCGGTTAGGCAGGTCTCCAGGCCACGAAGCTGCCTGGGTCTGCGGTGCACCTCCGCAGCCAGCGAAAAGTCCCAACCGATGAGGTCCCAGCGGGGCCCGGCGGGCCTTACCTGATCCAGCCCTGTGAGGAAGCTGCCCTGTGGCACCTTGGGGAGAAATGGGCCCCTGGTGGGACCCTGCCCCTTCCAGCCCTGGGGTGTGGCCTTCATCTCTTGCCCTGAGCTCTCTGTCTGCATCACACGGCTCCCTTCTTCCCCCAGGCCTGCTGAGCAACATCTGCAGTGAGAGGGGGCGCCCTGTGGGGGGAGACAGATGGGCAATTATTGAAACTTGTTATTAGTTTCCCATTCATCTTATTCCTTACCGAATGTAGCCCCTGATGTATCCCTGCAGGGCCCCAGCCATAAGTACAAGCCCTCTCACCCTTTGGCCAACTTGGGAGCTGATGCTGGCAAGGTATTTGAGTCGATAGAGAGGGAAGCTTTTGCAGATGAGATTGGCCGGGAACAGGCAGATGTGGGAGCCTCGCCGTCAGGAGCTTTTGGGAACTGATGCTCCTCATCCCCGAGGGGCATTCTTGCCTTGCTCCAAGACCCCCCCACCTCTGGCACTCCTGCCTCCTCTGCCCTCCCCGCAGTGAGCAGCTCCGCCTCCTGCAGCGTCCCCCCTCCCAAGTCCCCGAGGCGGGCAGCACCAACTTCCAGGACATGATCGAGGCTCACCGCAAGTGGCTGGGACATTACAAGAATGACCCCAAGTCGTATCTTTTTAGCTGCTCTCCAAACCCCAATCCCTTCTTGCTGTAACTGCCAAGGCGTGTGGGCCCTCGGGGTGCAAGGAGGACCCCGTTGGGCCTGTGACCCTTCCCCAGGTGTGCTCAGCTGACTGCAGAGTTTTCCTTCACCTTGTGGCCAGACATCTCTTCTCTTCGGTGCCCAAGCCGACAGCTGGTTCCGGCCTCCTGCAGCTGGGCCTGGATGAGAACAACAGACTGAAGGTGTATCGCTACTGAGGCCCTGAGCCCTGAGCCGGCAGGCAGCCTGGCCTCTCCTGCGTCCAGACCAAGTGTCCGAGTTGCTGCCTGCACTTTACTCCCTCTGATGATGATAAAGCGTTCTCCCGTCCCCTCTTTGCTGCTTGCCTCACTCAGAACCTAGAGGAACCACGGGGAACCAGTGGCATTGGCGGGGGGGGGGGGGGGGGGGGAGCAGGAGTGAAGAGGGCGTGGCCTTGCTCCCACCTGACAACGGAGGACACGGGGGGTTGCGGGGGGGGGGGGGGGGGAGGAAGGATGATATGACCAGAAACAGTAAGCCGCCGCCCGAGACTGTGTAACGCATCTCGGGCTGACCTGTGTGACTCCTGCGGACTGGCAGCACTGACGTGGGACAGCGGGGACAGGGGCACCTTTGCGAGAAGGTGGCACTGGACGAGCTGCCTCCTTCCGAGGCCAGGGGACTCCTTTGGAGCGGAGTTGGTCTCTCGGACCTGCAGGGCCTGCTTGGTGCTCCCAGGGTCACGTGTGTGGTCCTTAATTCGCCAGAACAAAGCCCCCCCGCCCCCGGCGTGTCTGTACCCTGGGACCAGGCCCTGTCTCTCTAATACCTCAGCCGTGTAGCGATCAGACTTTTTTTTTTAATGTCCCCTTTCTTGAGTGTTCTCTCTCCTTTTGACTCTCTCAGTATTGGGCCCAGAGCCCTGCGGGAGGTGGCTGGAGGCTGGGCCCAGAAGTTTTGCTGCCTGTCTTCCCTCTGCTGGCCCTGGGGCTGGCCTCCTCAGGAGCACTCCCTTCCCCTTCCCCAGAGCATCCCAGCTAGATTCTCAGGGCTCAAGTATCCAACTATCAATCAGGAAGCCAACAAGCCATAGGAAAAGTCTGGGATGGCTCTGGTCCTCATCTTGGCTTTCTCTTCCCGGACCACCCTGGGTCTACACATGGGTCATTTCCATCTGTCTCTTCCAGCTGTGCCACCGCCCACCCCATCCCCATGCCGCCCCTCCTCAGAGCTTGGACACTTGTTCTGGAGGAGGTGAGGGGCCTGGCCTTGGCAGGGAGGGATCAAGTGCCAGTGGGAGCTGCTGCCATTCTGGCACAGCATCCTGCAGCCCCACCTCCCATCAGTGGGCTCCTCGGGGGGGACATGCAGGGGATGTTCAACATCTGCCCCATTGTTTAAATACAGTGCCCCCATTTTCCTTGTCTTGAAAGCCGTGGGGTTGCCCTTCCATCTCCAGTGCGTAGAAACCAACTCTCCACCAACCCACCCTCGTTCCTCTGTCATGGGGTAAGAAACTAAGATCTCATACGTTACAGCCAACTCTGGTCACAATCCTGTGTTTTTTACGTCAATTAAATCGCTGCAGGTCCAGTTGCTACAAGGCAGTTGTGTGAATGTGTCTCCTTTTTGAAGGACTTTCCCTCCCTCTATTTTTAAGCAGGAGGCAAATTAATATTCACAGAACACCTAGGTATCGGATCTACTCACATGACAAACCTGTGATGTAGATAGTTTTAGCTCCATTTCTATGGATGAGAAAACCAAGCCTCAGAGATAAATTAAGTGCCTGAGGTCCTGGAGAAAGCAGCTGAGTTCCCTATAAGCGCAGAGCCTCATACCCCATCACTGTGCCCTGAGAGCTCCCATCCCAGTGGGGAAGTGCCCCAGCCTCCCAACCCCACCTACCGGCCCCGAGACTTACTGTGCCATTTCCCAGAGGCCACTCGTCGTCGTTTTCCCCATGCAGACGAATGAAAGGTAAGCCCCCTGAAGTCCTGGGCTGGCAAAGTTAGGTGAGTTTTTCCTTCTCCAGTGGTGTGAACAGCCTTCGTAGTCTTGGATTTGTAGCAACAAAATTGCTAGAAGAACCAACTGAGAATCAGGCCGTGTTTCATGGACTCGCAAAAGAAAACCGACTTAAAGACAAAACATACAAAGGAACCCAGCCTCCTCTGTGTCCCAGTGTCCGAGCCGCTCTGAGGACGGGAAGGAGGAAGGCGCTGAGAGGAACCTGTGGATGACTCGTGCAGCCCACTGAGATCTCACAGTGGAGGGAGCCGCCCAGAGAGATTACGGGGAGAGGCCAAAGGTGCAGTCTGCGTGGCGGGGGCGGGACCAGATCTGAGCAGTCCTGACTCCTAGCCTGGGGCTTAAGGAAAGAGTATTTTTAAAAGGGTATTTATTTTGAATAGGCTCTGAGTTCACGTGGCTCAGTATTCGAAAGGTACAAGAGTCAGCCCATCTGTGGGCCGTTTCCTCGAAGGTAACAAATATACCGGTTCTTTCTGGAGATTTTATGTAAATAAAAGAAAGGATGGCGACTGCTCTGACTCTTCCCTTTTACTGGTGGGGTAAGGGTCATTCCTCCTGTGGGGATCAGACAGTTGCCCAAAGCTCTTCTGTAAGACATTCATTGCCTCTTAAGGAAGCAGTGCTGAGCATGATGATAGCCCCACCCCCACCCCCGGCAACACACATAGAAACTTCCACACAGAATGGCAGTATGGGGGTGGGGAAATAACCCTGGCCTTAGGACACCTGGGTTTACTTCTCGCTCTGACATCTACAAGCTCTGCGACCTGAGCAAGTCCTTTCTGGGCCCATGTCTTCCCTGGTCAAAAGCTCGAAGCCCAAATCCACAGTCCAGGGACAAAGCAGGGTAGCTGCCTCAGATTCGGTGACTGAGGGGCCTGCCTTGGGTGGAGAGCTGCCCTCATCCAGAGAGGGACTGAATACGTCCAGTGGCCTAATATAGACCTCAGGTGGGGAGGGGTGCTGGCAGAGGTTGCCCATACCTCCAGCAGCTTCTTTGGGGAAGTGATGGTTAAAAAAAAAAATGGAGCACGTACCATCACCAGTGCTGATGAATTGGAACGTCTCCCTCATTCCTCCTTGAAACTTCTGCATCTCCAACCTACGCCCCTGGCCTCCCTGCTTAGCGTTGCCATCTCCAGCAGGTATGTAGACAGAGGGCCCAGTGAAGGACAGTGTAACACCATTTGCCATCATGGAGGAGAGGGGCATCTACTCTTGGGGGGGGGGGTCCCCACTCAGGTTTAAAGGCAGTGGGGGTGTGAATCAAAGGTTCCCACTTTATCCTCTCTGTGCCTTGATTTTCACACCTGTAAAATGGGGTTAACAGCGGTATCTAGCCCAACGTAATAACAAAAGTACCAAACAACCCAATTGAAAAATAAGCAGAAGACCTAAATAGGCATTTCCCTAAAGAAGACATATAGAGATGCTCATCATCACTAATTACTAGAGAAATGCAATTCAAAACTACAATGAGGTACCACCTCACACCAGTCAGAATGGCCATCATTAAAAAGTCTACAAACAAATGCTGGAGACGGTGTGGAGAAAAGGGAACCCTCCTACACTGTTGGTGGGAATGTAAATGGGTGCAGCCACTATGGAAAACAGTATGGAGGTTTCTCAAAAAACGAAAACTAGAGTTGCCATATGATCCAGCAATCCCACTCCTGGGCATATATCTGTACAAAACTATAATTCAAAAAGATACATGCACCCCTATTTTCATAGCAGCACTATTTACAGTAGCCAAGACATAGAAACAACATGTCCATCAACAGATGAATGGATAAAGAAGATGTGGTATATATATACAATGGACTACTACTCAGCCATAAAAAAGAATGAAATAATGCCATTTGTAGCAACATGGATGGACCTAGAGATGATCATACTAAGCAAACTATGAAACAGAAACAGATGCACAGGTAAAGAGAACAGACTTGTGGTGGCCAAGGGGGAGACGGGGTGGGGGAGGGATGGAGTAGGAGTTTGGGATTAGTGGATGCAAACTAGTATATATAGGATGGATAAACAGCAAGGTCCTACTATATAGCAAAGGGAACTATATTCAGTATCCTGTGATAAACCATAATGGAAAAGAATATGAAAAAGAATGTATGTATAACTGAATCACTTTGCTGTACAGCAGAAATTAACACAACATTGTAAATCAACTATACTTGAATAAAATTTAAAAAAATTAAAGACAATTTAAAAATAGCAGTATCTAGCCCATAAAATGGTTATGAGGATTAAAGAAGTTAATCCATAGAAAGTTCTCAGTGTTCAACATGCAGTAAGGGGAATGATGTCACCAAGACGGTGACATAGGGTGTTCCTGACTTTGCCCCCCACCACAAGAGCAACTAACAACTATTCATGGACAAGACACCATTGAGAGAATCCTAGAACCCGGGAGCAAGGATGAAGCACCTTCTGTACCACAGAGACCCAGGCAGACCACACTGGGGGGTGGGGGTGGGAAGAGGGTAAGAGGAGCGGCTACACACTGACCACATTGACCCTCCCCCAGGTCAGCACAGCCCGCCCCACACTGAGAGGTCTCCCTTGGGCCTATGGTTCCTCCAGAGGGAAAAGAGAGTCCAGGGGTGACATCCAGCACCCCCACCCAGAATTGTGGGTCACTTCATGGGAGCCCTGGTTTCACCCCCTTGGATTGCAGGGGACTCTGTTGGGGCTCAACCACTGGGAATCTGATGGTGATGGAGAAGGGGGAGAGGCCTCCAGCACTGGGTCTTGGCAGACCAAATTCCCACTTGCAGAGCCCACGCAGTAGTCCCAACCTGTGTCTTTGCTCATCTGCAGAACAAGTCGATGGTGCAGTGTGACCAGGGAACTTGGTGGGGTGCAGGTCTGCACGACTCAGCTCCTCAAATGAGGAGTTCTGCAGTCCCTGGAGCCTGGTCGGCTCTCTTCCAGGCAGAAGAGCTGAGTTGTAGCCCCACCAGCTGTGGTGTGCCTCCCAGCCCCTCCCAACCAGAAGGCCTCCTTGGGAAAATCTGGGAGTTGTCGGAAGCGGCCTCCCAGTCCCGACCAGGCAGGAGAACAGACATAGCCCTACCGGCTGCCAGTTTGGCTCCTGGCCCACCTAACAGGAAGCGTTGCTGAGAACACCTGGAAGCTGCTACATAATCCCGCAACTCTTGAGTCCAGAGGCAGGGGGCAGAGCTGACCA